TCTGGAGAGCAGGGAGCCTCAGGCTCCAGGTCGCTGGCCTCCCCGGGATCCCAGGCGCTCGCGCCGTCTGTGTCCGCCCCTCCTGGGAGCTGCGGTGGGCGGGTGGCCCCGTGAGAAGGCACAGGTCCCTGCCACCTTGGCCTTAGTGCTCAGGTAGACCTGAAATTTGTGTAAATTTTCATGGAGAAAATGTGACTGGGTCATACTTAATCCGTTGCTTTACATGTGGACTCTCCTCGGAAACTTTTTATTTTGAGAAACTTCTATTTTTAAAAAATTGAAAAGCAGTGAATGCCTGTATACACTTCCCCAGTGAGTTTATCTCCATCTCTTTCTCTCACACACACTCACCCGATTCTTTTGCAGAACCATTTGGAAGCGCCCTGCCGTCCTAACCCTTTGGTTCTAAAGACAAGGCAGACACTGCCTGAGAGCAGACCCCCCTGGAAAACGCGTCACCAGCACACCGGAGACACCTGGCCCCGAGGGAATGGTGTCATGTGACACCAGCCAGGGCTGCTTTACCGGTTTTCTTTCATGTGCTCAAGTTATTCCAGAATTGGGAAGTGGAACCCCATTCAGGCTGGTTCCTATGGCCTTTTGACATGTTCACTTCAAATTATTTGGCATTTTCTTGTTTCCCGGTAACAAACGCTTCAGGCCACCTGGACCTGTGCCTGCTCCAGACTTGTCATCAGCCCTCCCTCCAGGAGGAGGGGCTCGTTCTAGCAGACCGGTGTTCAGAAACCAAGATCTGGGTGCCAGGTGTGCTCTTTGCTGCTGAGTCGTCAGTACCTCTAGATCCTCGGGTGGAGCCGGGACTTGATGTTGTTAGTGAGACCGGGATGCTTCTGTTTCATCAGGGTGCGGGAATGTCCTAAGTTGCGGCTCGTGTGTGAAAACCGGGGTGCTGGTGCCTGTGAGGGGTGTGGAGATGGAGGTTGTGTCAGCCTCCTGCTGTCCTGCTTCTCCCTGACCGTCTGGAAAGTTGGGGCTCTCTGTGCCAGTGATGTGCAGGTTCATCAGCCTTACGTGTCTCCCACAGACCAGCCGCGGTCCACGAGCACAGAGACAAACGCTGGGCTCATCGGTTCACTTGGGAAGCGCTCAGCCCGTAACTGAAAACTCGTCTGAGAGATAGCACCTTTGTTTCAGTTGTTGGGAAGGGTCCTCCTCCTCCTGGGCACAGGGGAGACAACGGGGCTTGGTCTGTGCCCTGTGGCCAAAGAAGGCACCTGCTGGCAGGGTGCTCGGTGTGCAGATGAACAAGCGGGGGCCTGGGGTGGAGGGCAGATGCGTGCTGACCACTTTTTAGAGCGATGAAGCTTTGGAGAGAAACACGCTGAGTCCCTGGGTTGGTCTCCCACTCGCCCTCAGACGGTGAAAGCCGCTGTCTGTTTGGGGTCCCAAGGCAGAAGCAGAAAGCCTGCAAACCCTCGTGTGCAGGGAGTGGAAAGTTTTCTCTGTTTAAATTCAGGGCTGGGCTGCGTGGGTAATGCCTTACGCTGACCACTGTGTTTCAGGAGTTTAAACGATGCTGCGGGTGTTTCAAAAGTGAACTAGCAGGTGCTTGAACAGGAGAGATGGTTTCTTGGGCAGCGCTTACTCTGCCCTTTATGCAACGTGCAAGGGATCGTTTTGTTTGAAGTCCGTGTGCTCTCAGTTTCTTGGTGCATCATGGTGCTGGGCCCACTGCACAAAGCCAGTGCTTTTAGTGGGTGCAGCGTGCAAGCAGCTGCGATGGTTTTCCGTGTCATTTCCCGAGACTTGCCGTGTGCAGCACTTCATCCCAGCACGCGGGAGGTCCCCGCGGAGGCTCCCCTGTGCTGTGATCGAGCGACTGAGCGCTCTTCTCAGGTGCCGTCCCCTGTAGTGTGTGTCCAGGCCGGGACCAGGTCGGGGTGGGGGTTCAGTAGTGCCTTCGGTTCAGCGGTCGCAGAGCAAACTCACCGGCACCCGTGGGTGCCGTCTGAAAGGTTGGGTCAGTTATACGTCGCATGTCCAGAAGGGACCCAGGTTTGTCAAGGTGACAGCGGTCATGGGGTTCAGAATATGCTATTTGAGTGGAGGAAGGGGGTTCAACTCCCAAAGTAAAACCGCTTTGAAAACAGGTATTATTGTGGAGACGTGGGCTTTGCCTTCCTCCTAGACCCTCTGGGGCAGACCTTTCTGGAAAGGTGCCTCTGGCCCCTGGTAGAGCTCCCTCCTTCCCCACACCGCTGCCGAGCGGGTGTGCCTCCTAAGGGCCGGGCCTTCTGTTCGTCCTGGTCCCCCAGCACTGTCAGTGCGCGAGAGGGACGTGCCCCATCACAGTGCTGTCGCATGCCGTGTGTTCCCTTCCCTGCAGGCTGCGGGTCCCCGCACGCACCTGAGGTTTCCTCAGAGTCACACCCCTGCATCCTCTTTCCTGGAAATGCTCCCCCCTCACTGCTGACGCTCACAGGCCCTCTCTCGGCTGGAGGGCTGGTGCCAAGGCTTCCCCTTCCGGGAAGCCTTCCCAAGGCTGAGTGTGTTCTCTCTCCTGAAGCGGTCGTAGCACTTGCTTGTTCTTAGGTCACCCGGTATCTCCCCGACTCCCTTTCCTGTGTGCTGCCCCTCCCCCTCCCCGCCTGCCCCAGTGCCCGGCACGGTCCCTGGCACGCTGTGCGGCCACACAGGAGCACAGCATCAGTTGTCAAAGTGGCGTGGCCCTGTGATGGGGAGAGAAGGCGAGCTGCGCACCGGAACGTGGAGCGACCCTTGGGACAGAGCGGTGGTGACAGTCCTGGGGGGCAGAGTCAGTGCCCGCTCCACTGCTTCACGGGCCTTCCCCAGCCCTCAGGGCACGTGGCGGCTCTTGTCACCTGCGTGTGGCCTCGAGCCAGGTGGTCAGGCCTGACGGGGAGCGTCAGGAAACTGCTCCTCGGAGGCACAGGCTCCAGTGGGACGGTGTTCCGCTGCTGCTCACACCTTGTCGGGGTGAAACGGAGCAATCAACGTTGTTTCCACATGGTCACCGGTCTTTTTAACACCACCAGTGTCCTTGAACCATGCTTGGTTGTGGTGAAGATGGGCGGTCGCAGTTCCCCCTTACCACCTCTTTTAGGACAGCCTAATGGACAGGTGACATCTGTCCGTCCAGCACGAGCTCAGCTGGCAGCTTCTTCCTGGAGAGCTGGAGCACAAGCACTGAGGCCAGCCTGGCTCCTTCCACACACTTGTCACCCCACGCCCTGGGGCCTCCTGGTCCCCTCACGGCCTGGGCCCCCGGACGGCCTGGGTTGGGGGGGAGGGATTCAGTAGTGTCTTTAGTGGTCACAGATCGCTGCAGAGTAAACTCACCTGGTACCTGTGTGCGCAGTCTGAAAGTTTGGGTGAATTATACACTGTCTGTCCAGAAGGGATCCAGCCACGTAATGTGGGAAAACAGATATTTATTGAAGAAGATACACAAGATCCAAGAAACATCGTACATAGGACAGTGACACCTCAGTCCCCTTAAAAGCGGGCACTTTGGGACCTCACACAGTTCTCCCAGCGCCATCAGCTGCCCCATCCTGTTTTCCTGAATCTCATCAACAGTCTGAAATCTCTTCCCTGTCAAAGGTGAATTTAGTTTTGGGAGAAGCCAAAAGGTGCAGGGCACCAAATTTGGGCTATAGCAGGGCTGAGTCACCTGGGTGATTTGGTGTTTCACCAAAAAACTTTACATGAGACATGATGCATGAGGGGGCATGTCGTGGTGATGAAGCTGCTGGTCACCAGTTGCCTGCAGCCACAGCTGCTGAATCAGCCGACTTGTTTCCGCTGAGGACTGTTAAGCTTAATGCAAAATTTGGTGCAGATTTGTTGCCCTACTCACTCATTTTGACTGTGACGGCCACACAGTACACATGGTCACTCAGCAGCATCTGCTGCCCCCACTGACCAGTACAGTGAAGTCGTCACTGTTCACACACGCGCATTCCAGTCCACTCTCCTGGGCTGCCAGGTGCATCGATGTCACGCAAACTGTTCTCCTTATATGAAGTGGCTGGACTTTTCCCAGACAGACCTTCCTACATGTAGCAAGTCTTCTCCTTTTTGCTTAACTAAATGGTTTATTTGCAGATAATTGTGGGCTCACAATACGTTAGTATTATTCTCAAGCAGTAATGTGGAGAGAGCCCGTGTGCTCCTTCCCCGCGTCCCCCAGTGGAAGCACCTTGAGAGGCTGCAGTACGTCTGCAAAACTGGGACGCAGGCGCCCCAGGTCCAGGACGCTGGCTCTCCCGGGGCCCCCACCGGGGCCCTGTTACAGCCATGCCCCTCCCCTCCGGCCCCACCCCTTCCTTCACTCCTGGCAACCACTGAGATATTACTTCTCCATTTCTACAATTTTCTCATTCCAAGAATATTTCAAAAGTGTGTAACTGTGATCCCTGGAGAGTTCGTCTTTGCTACAGTTTGGTGGGGTTTAGGGTGAGGCCCGTGCGTCTCCCCGTGGGTGTGCAGTCTCTCCCACGGTGCTTACGGAAAGGCCCCTCTGCCTCCAGCATTGCCTTTGCGCCTCTGTCAGAGGTCAGTGGGGTCTGTCGGTGGGGGTCAGTTCATGGCTGTCTGCTCCGTCCATCGATCTCCATGTCTGTCTGTCTGTCGTTAGCATATGCCCTGCATTACTGTGGCTTATGTACAGCAGGCCTGAATCCGGCGATGCAGCGATTCCTCCCAATTTACTCTTTCAGAAACTGTTTTTGTTCTTTTGCCTTTCTGTGTAGGTTTTAAAATCTTGCCTGTTGCTATAAGTAAGGGTCAGGCTGGGGTTTGGATAGAACGATGTGCAACCTCTGCATCCACATGGGGAGGGTTGGCCTCTCTGCTCTGTCGAAGCTTCCAGCCCACAAGCCCCGAGTGTTCTCCGCCTCAGTGAAGGCTGGGGCGCGAGGGCGAGAGTGGCTGTGATGTGTGCGTGGGAGACGGTCCGGCTACAGGAGAGTGTCAGTGACGAGCTGTCAACCCCTCTGTTGTCAAATGCATCCCAGGCCTACGAAAGGAGGTTCCCTACCTGCCCTCTGATTCCGATGTTCGTGGACAGCGACATTGTGAACGAATTCCGGAGCGAGGACGGGGCGATTCACGTGGTGGAAAGACGCTGCAAGCTGGACATCGATGCGCCCAGGCTGCTGAAAAAGGTGAGCGCGGCCCGGGCGCCCCGCGCCCAACTGCCCCTCGCACGCAGCTTCCCCTGCAGTTGGCTGGTACTGACGAGTCCTTCTCCCTGCTTCCTTTTTTTAAAGATCGCGGGAGTTGACTACGTTTATTTTGTCCAGAAGAACTCACTGAACGCTCGAGAGCGCACTTTGCACATCGAGGCCCACAACGAGACGTTCGCCAACCGGGTGGTCATTAAGGAGCACTGCTGCTACACCGTGAGCACCGCCCTGGGCGGGCGGGGGGCGGCCGCGCTGAGCCCCAGGACGCGCCTTTGTCAGATGCTGTCACCCGTTTCCCACGCGGGGCAACGGTCCACTGCAGAGCCAGGCGGCCGCGGATGCCTTCCCGCGCCGCCACTGCTCCGGCTCACACCAGGCTCACACCAGGCTCACACCAGCCAGCGCTCAGAGACGGAGGCTGCAGTGTCATGGGGCGCACAGCCACCTCCAGGAGCGGCCGCACACCGGCCCGCCCCACGCCTTCACTGCTTACCACCGGGCCCGGCACCCCTCTCGGCCGGCTGTGACAGTGCCCTCCTGGGTCCCCGCTTCTCCCTAGTCCTCCTGCAGTGTGTCCACACCAATTCCAGAGTGGCCCACTGACAGAATGGCATGTCATGTCACACCGTCTCTGGGCTCAGAACCAGCAGCATCTCGGCATTTGGTTCAGAGGAGGTCACACCCCTGCTGTCCATGTGCACAAGCCCCGCTGGGCTGTTCCTGACCCTGCAGGCGCCACCCTAAGGGCCTGCAGCTCTCCGCCCGCCCCCCCCCCCGCCCTCCCCTCCTCTGCCTTTGCTCAGACCTCCCCTCGCTGAGGCCGAACCCCCGCTGCAGGCCGCGCCTCATCCCCCGCAACTCTTGCTTCAGCGCTGCTCCACATTTGCTGGTTCCCCATGACACTGTCCCCCGACAGTGGCACGGTTTCTTACCTGTCACGGTCGTGGCAGTGTCTTCTGCCGCTGGACTGTGACCTTCGTGAGCCAGGGGTCTTTGTTTAGTGGGGGGAGAACACCACTCAGGGAAGACGGTGAGCGAGTGAACCGAGAGTGACAGGGAAGCGCTCTCCTTGTGCAGTCACGTTAGGACATTCTAGAAATACTGTTTGTTTTTTCATGATCTTGAACCTCTGTAGTTTTTCTGTCTGCTGCTTTCATGCTAATAACAGTGTTAGTAAAACAGGTGTTTTCCCCTGGCAGCCAGTTGATTGAGGAGCAGGCAGATGATATTCTCACTTGGTAGTTAATTAATGGAATGTTTCCTCACTTGCCCGCAGGTTCACCCTGAAAATGAAGATTGGACCTGCTTCGAACAGTCTGCAAGTTTAGACATCAAGTCTTTCTTTGGCTTTGAAAGTACAGTGGAGAAAATCGCAATGAAGCAGTACACCAGCAACATTAAAAAAGTGAGTCTGTCTGGAGTTTCATGGCAAAGGGTGGGCAGGTGTCCCGGGCCGATTCAGCCGGCAGTCTTTTGGGGAGGCTGGCGCTGGTGGGTCAGGCCCACCCTTTCTTGAAGAGGAGAGGTTCTGACTCTCCCTGTGCCTCACGGCCCTGGGAGCGGAAGGCTCGGCGGGGGTTCAGAGGGTGCTGGCCGCCGGGCGGTAAGGAGGATCTCACAGCCCCCCGGCGGGGTATCCTGGGCTTGGACAGGCCGGAGCTGCCCAGCGCACAGACAGCTGCAGCCCCAGGTGCCACCAAAGGGCCTGCTGACCAGGCGGCGATCAGGGGCCCCGGCCTCCATTGTTCGGTCCCCCTGCATGGAAGAGCTCTCCTCCTTGTTTTCGTGCTGCTAGCGACCGCTGCGGCTCTGCGCCCCGACACATCGGTGCGGGGTTGCGACTGCTTCGGGAGGTCGTCTTCCGTGCGCGAGGCTTTGGGAAGCGCTTACTCGGAGACACGAAGCGCATGTTGCGTGCGAGTGTGGTGAACGGGCCCCCGTGAGTCGTGGAGGCTCGCTCACTTGGGCGTTACCTCCTGGACCTTTGGGGAAGGGGAGGTAGAATGTGAAAAACAACAGTGCCAAGGCATCCGACTTTTTTCTGTTCATTCGAAAGCAGTTTGGTTTTTAGTAGTGTTACAAAAACCTGTGAGGGACGAATACTTTGAATGGTCAGTATACACTAACCTTAAAATTGGTTTTGTTTTACAAAGGGAAAAGAAATAATTGAATACTACCTTCACCAGTTGGAAGAGGAAGGCATAACGTTCGTGCCCCGCTGGGCCCCGCCCCCGCTCGTACCCTCTGCCGAGACGTCCGCCTCGTGCAGGAAACAAGCGGCGGTGCTGGCCGTCGTGGTCCCGGAGGCTGCGCAGAAGGAAGGGCTGAGCAGCGAGGCCCTCGGCAGCGCGAGCGGGGCCGCCGAGCCCGCCGTGGGGACCCCCGACGGTGGGTACACCCTGGGGGCAGGACTAGCCAGTGCCTTCAGTTCCCGTCTGGTCCCTCTGCCTGCTCTGGTCCCCGCAGGACATGAGACGTTACGTGAGAGATAAGTAGAGCTTGGTGCTGGCCCGTAGAACTCGTTCATTTGACTTTTTCCTCACCGTAAAGAAACAGGTTTTTATTTCAAGGGCAGGAAGGATTATGTGATAACTGACAGCAGGAACTGGTTTCTGTTTATTTTACGTACGCGAAGGCATCATGAGCGGAAGTAGGGTAGCGACCAGGGTCTCGAACGTAACCGGCCAGCGGCACTGTCCCTGAGCACCGGTGGTGACGGCGCCTGTCAGCAAGGGGACGCCTCTCGGGGCGCAGAGGGAAGGGGTGGCTCCCACAGAGTCACACTGCTGTGGGTGACAGTGCTTCCCACTACTGTGCTGGGCTGCCTCTCGTGTGTTGCACACGCATCCACCTGCGTGCACAGCCCTTGTTGATTCTCGGACGGCCCCCGTTGTAAAGGAAGAAAACTGCCACTCAGAGCCTGGCTGACCCTCCGGCATCAGTCTCTCTCTGTGTTCTGCTCTGCACCCAGACTGTGCTGTCCGCCCGCTCTCCGTGGGCGGCAGGCGGCAGGCGTCTCCCTGGTTGGGGGACGTGCATTATTGCACCTTGTGACTTCTCTGTGCTGTACTTAATTTTATACCTCATCTTTCAGTTGACGTTACTGCATCACGAGAAAGGTTCCTTGTGTTTTTGAGCACAGCTCCATTCAAACAGGTTTAGATCCGTTCATTTGGTTATTTCATAGTTTTATGTGTAACTTCGAATTACAAGTCATTGGATGTACGGTAGACCTGTCGTTCTAACAGGAGTAGTGCTGAGATTTGACAGGCAGAGGTGACCTGCCCGCAGCTGGGGAATGTAGCAGATGCAGCGAGTGTGCCTGTGGCACCGTCAGGGTGTGATCGGGCGGCTGTCCTTGAGGGCTGCCAGGGTGGCCAGTGGCCGCCTGCAGCCCCGCGGTGGCACGGAGTTGGACGGCACATCAGCCTCCCTGAGGACTCTGGAATACTTACGGTCAGCGTTCTTGTTGTAAATGACCTCGTGTGACTTCCGTTCCAGACAAACTGGACGCCGACTACATCAAGAGGTACCTGGGCGACCTGACCCCCCTGCAGGAGAGCTGCCTGATCCGGCTTCGCCAGTGGCTCCAGGAAACGCACAAGGGCAAAGTGAGACTCGGCCCGTGAGCGGCGGTGCTGTCCGTGGGACCGGGGCCCCGCCCTGTCCGCAGTTCCTCGGAGTGAATGCCTGCAGTTGCCGTAGCTGGTGGCACTGTCCCTTCCAGTCTGAAAGTCCTTGCATGTGTGTCTCTGTGTGGCATCAGGTCCCTTGTGGCAGCTTGTGGTGCTCTTCTAAGTATAAGTAGCTGTGCTTTTCTGGGTTTTACAGTTAACTTGCTGGAAGACAGTTACATGTATAGCAGGTTTGGAAGGAGGTCACGGATTATTCAGGATTGGAAATGTTTGTGCTTCGATTTGGAGGTTTGGGTAGGTTTTGGCCTCACAAGGAACTGCTGGGGCCCAGTGCTGAGCGGAGGCGCGTTTGGGTGCCCGGCTTGCTCCTGGCCCCGCTCCGTGGGGAGGAGCCGGGCGTCACACGCAGTTGGCTGCCCTCCTTCATCGTCCGTCCTGGTTACCGGAGCAAGGTTGGGGCTCAGTGTCACCTGTTTGGAACACAGCTGCAGGGGCACTGCTGCCATTTTTGGGGCAGCGGCCATCTGCTGAACACTGTTTCAGGATCAGTCTTAAGCCCTGCCAGAGGCCCTGTGCAGTGGTCAAGATTTTTATCACCCCTGTCGTACCCCCGGGGAAAGCGTGACACAGACAGCCAGTGACTCACTGCGGGTCTCACAGCGAGGGAGCGGCACGGTCAGGGTTCGGGGCGGGGCCGTTTGGTCCAGAACCCCTGTTCTTACCCACCCTCGTGTCTTTGCGGGGTGCTGCTTTCTGAGGGGTTCTGTCTCAGTGCCATTTCGCCAGGCGGCTGTACCCCCACGGTGCCGCCCCCCGGGACCAGTGAGCCCGTGGCCGTGGGGGTGGACGGCAGACCTGGTGGGGCTCGGATGCGGCACAGCCTTGGGTGTCGCCCAGGCGGCGGCCATCACTGTCCAGTAGCGGAGCCTGTCCAGGGGAGCCTGCTGCATGTGAGGAGGGCCACCACCGTCGGCCACGCCGACACCCTTTCCAGCCCCTCAAAGGTGCGTGTGCACATGCACACACACAGAAGGCACACCGCACCGATGGCAGTGGTGCACAGGCCGGCGTGAGGGTTTTGAAGCATCTGGTGTTTGAGAAATTGATGCCTTCACTCTCCTTTGCTGAGAAGAAAGTGGAACCTTTCTTTAGTGAAGATTTTCTGACCAGTGCTGCTGCTTTTCTGAAGCGTTAAGCCTAAGTTTAAACAGTGCGGTAACGCAGCCCATTCTTGGCGAGAAGGGAGAGTTCAGAGTCTGATTCCCTCAGTGACTTGTTTTCCGTCCCCGACACTCTGAGCGCCGCTCAGAAACGCCTCTCTCCCCACAGATCCCAAAAGATGAGCATATTCTCCGATTCCTGCGTGCCCGGGACTTCAACATTGACAAGGCGCGAGAGGTCATGTGCCAGTCCCTGACCTGGCGGAAGCAGCACCAGGTGGACTACATCCTGGACACCTGGCGCCCGCCCCAGGTCCTGCAGGACTACTACGCGGGGGGCTGGCACCACCACGACAAAGGTGCGGGGACGCGGCGTCCGGGGCCCAACTCAGGGACTTCCTCCTACAGGCCTCGGTGGGCCCCTGCGTGCACGGCCCCACCCCGCCTGAACCAGGGGGTGCTGGTCTCACCACAGCCCGTACTCCTGCCCCTCCTGGAAACAGCCCGACCGGAGGGGCAGGAAGGGAGGAAGGGCCGTGGCTGTTCGCTTCTTCCTGGGGGCCCACGCGGCCCTTGGGCGAGTTCCTTCAGCCCCTTCCTTAGTCAGACGTGGGTTGCGGACACACGGTCCTTAAAGAACCAGAGAGTTGAGGGCAGCTTTCTCCGGGGCGCAGTGTAGTGAAGGGCTTTCCGGTGACCTCGGCCCCTGCGCTCATCTGCGAAGATGAGCAGCCACGGTTTCACATCAGAATGTGGAGACCTCGCTCTTTTGGGGGGTGGGCAGAGACCAAAGCCAAGGACAGTGACACACTCGAACGGAAGAGTGACCTGAATGTGACTCTTTACATCTCGTGCCCCGCGGGGAGCCTTGCGTCACCACAGGTCTACTCCCTGCGTCCTGACGCACTCAGAGCGGCCGTGGACAGAGGGGCACCCCCCCAAGTCCTGGAGCCCCGCCCCCCGGCCCAGGCCTGTCAGACCTGAGCGGCTCCGACTGGCGTGTGTCCCCGCCCCAGGCGCTTTTCTCCCGCTGAACTGCGGCCTTAATTGCGTTGAGAGAGACTGTTCGTAAACGTTCGGTTTACGAGGCATGGGGCCCAGAACTGCCCTCTGGGTTAAGTAGAACAGACCTGGACCCGCACCGTCCGCACCGTGCGCCCAGGAGGGTGTGGGCCCTGTGTCTGGGGCAGCGCCAACCCTCCCTGACAGCAGAGAGTGCCTCAGGGTCTTTTCGGGGCAGAATCCATCCCTGCCCCTTCTGCTGCTCCGTGGTGGCTGGGATCTGGGAACTGCTGACTCCAGGGGCACACTGGCCACCAAGGCCATCTCCCCTCTGTGGAGCTGGCTCATGGGGACAGGGATTTCTGTGAGGACTCAGGGTCCCCCCAGGCCCCACCCACTAACCTTCCAGACCTGGAAGAAGCAGAGCCAAGTGTCCTGCCCTTACGGATTTAAGATTCTAGAAAGTCCTCATTCATCCTGGTTCTGCGGGGAGGGATTACAGGAAGCTGGGTTTTGAACACTCTTGACCTTGAACTTTGGCTAATCTGTGGAATGAGAGACAAAGGGCACTCCATGTTTGGACCCCATGTTGTCCCCCTGCCGCTGGGAGTCCGAGCGCTCTCTGCTCAGCCCCCGTTGTGCAAGTGAGGGGCTGGGCCCTGGGCCATATGGTTAGCACCGTGGCGGGGGCCGGACAGAGGTGCGGCCCCTTTGGATCCTCACTTGTGCAGAGCTGTCTCTGACCCTGCTGACTGCTCTGTTGGCGGCTTTTGTTCTTCCTTTTCCATTGTTTTGGGGAAAAGGTCAGGGGACACTCTGGTACTCGTGGAAGCTGCTGCTGTCCCTCAGGAGGCGCGAGCTCAGAGCCCGTCGGGAACTCGGGAGCGCAGGCTGCCTGGTCGGGGGCCTTGGACATGCCTCCTCGGCTCCGTGGTGGGCCGGTGCCGGTGCTCATGCCTTTCCTTCGTCCCTCCCGCAGATGGGCGGCCCCTCTATGTGCTGCGGCTGGGGCAGATGGACACCAAAGGCCTGGTGAGAGCCCTCGGAGAGGAGGCCCTGCTGAGATACGTGAGTGCTGGGCGGGCGTCGGGCCGCGTCTGGGCCTCCCTCCCATTCTCCCCAGCGGGACTGGGTGGGCCCTTGTCCTGTGACAGCAAGCACGTGCTGCTTCTGTGCTAGGAAGGAACACCCGTTCGTGCGTTTGAAGGATTTCAAAAGCGGGCCCTAGAGTTATAAATACATTTTTCACAAGAAAACATCCAGGAGGAAAATCACTCTAACCACTCGAGATGACCGCTCGGGAGCTGGTTCTGAGCCAGCCCTTCACCCCCAAATGGGCCCCTGCCCTCCCACCCTGACTTTCAGACCTCTCTGCACCGTTCTCCCCACTGGCACCCCCTCCACCCAGGCCCCGGGCACCTCCCACCTGGACAGGGCACACGCGCTCTCCCTGTGCCCGACTCAGCCCCCCCCCAGCACCTGCTCAGGGCGGGCGGTTCTGAAGGGAGAACGAGGCCCCAGAACGGAAATGCAGCAGCACCAGAAGGCACAGCGATAACGCAGTTTCCCTGAGGCACCCACTGGTGACACGCCACTGTCGTGGGGATGGGCTTGTGCTCGTAGTGTGTGCAGGCGCACCCACACGCACCACGTGTGCAGAGGAAGGTCATGACTCTGCGGACGGGCCGCTGGCACAGGGGAGGGCTGGCGTGCAAATGGTGTGCCCTGCAGCCGCGCCCGAGGTCAGGTCTGGCACTGCCTTCCCCTTGGCTGGTCCAGGTGGCGTCACAGTGTCCCCCTCTCAGCGGACACTTGCCTCCACGGTTCCGGAGGTGCTTCTTCTGAACACACGGCAGCGGGTCACACCCTCCCTGCCCATCGAAGGCTGCCTCCGAACTGTGACCTCGCTCAGGCAGCTGGCACTTGAGCCACAGGGGACAGCACTCACTCTTCAGAGAGAGCCGTTCCGTCGGGTGTGTCTGTGTCAGAAAAGCTGAACGGTGACGTCTTCGGCTCCCGTGCTCCCCCCAAACGCGTCGTGCCATCGATGCAGGGGCGCTGTCCTCGGCTGACGGGGTCTCGGGGCCTTTCTCGCGCAGGTGCTCTCCATCAACGAAGAGGGGCTCAGGCGCTGCGAGGAGAACACCAAGGTCTTCGGCCGGCCCATCAGGTAGAGGCGGGACCCCGCGTCTCCTTCCCGCACGTCGAGAATGGGACTTGAATGTTTCTCACTGAGTTCTAGAATGCAAATCGGGTGTGATTTCTAGATTTTTAGAACCAAGTCTAAATATTTCACTGTTTTCCACAGTGTTCGGAAAGGTGGAAAACAGATGAGCATGCAGTGTGGTCAGTTTTGCGGGGTGGTTGTCAGGTTTCGCTGTTCTTTAGCCCTGCCTGTGGCCTGTCTGCTTTGTCGGCGTGGCCCTTGGGGGCCCAGGGTTGCGGGTTTTGCTCTGTCTGCACTTGGTTGTTGTTCGCTCGTGAGGAAGGGGGGACCCCAGTGTGCTCCCGAGTCCCACAGCTGGTGGGGTGGGCTGGGTTGGGGTGTGCGGGGTCCGAGGTCGCCCTGAGCAGAGTGTGTGCGGAGGGGTCCCCGGGGCAGGGGTTGAGGTTTTGTTCACGCTGTGTGCTCAGCTCCCGAGACTTGGGGAACACTTGTGCAAGAACAGCTTATTGCAGTTCAGTCACACTGTGCACACTGGGCAGATACTGCCCGTGGGGCCGGCAGAAGTGGCCCAGCCTGTCAGCCACAGCGCCTGCCTCTCTGCTGGGTCCCTGAGCACATTAGAGCGGGGGTTTTAGGCACCACCCATGCAGAGAGGGCAGGGGTGGGCCTGCCGCACTGACCCCGCCTGCCTCGCACGGCAGATGTGGACGCGGTTCATAGCCCAGCACATCAAGAAGAAACAAGCATAGCTCTGGGGGAGGACCATTTGCTCAGTGTGTGTTCTCGGAATAACACGTCTGTGCGCCCGCAGCTCGTGGACCTGCCTGGTGGACCTGGAGGGGCTGAACATGCGCCACCTGTGGAGACCCGGCGTGAAGGCCCTGCTGCGCATCATCGAGGTGGTGGAGGCCAACTACCCCGAGACGCTGGGCCGTCTGCTGATCCTGCGGGCCCCCCGCGTGTTCCCCGTCCTCTGGACGCTGGTGGGTTGGATGCCGTCTCGAAGCACCTGTGGGCATTTGTAAGGCAGACGTGCGACACGCACGCATGCACACATGTGTCTGTACCTTTAAGTCCCGGCCAGTTAGGGAAAAAACGAAGTTAACTTGGAAAGACATAACATTTCTCAAGTCGTTAGGGGAAGAACTCCCGCATGTCTAATGGACTTAACAAAGACATGCCTCAAATTCCAGTCCCCTTCCCTCATTCACAGTATCCCCTTGTCACTCTAACCTCCGGGAGTCGGGCGGCAAGCAAAGAGGGGTACCCGCGTCTCTCTTCCTCACAGGTCAGCCCGTTCATCGACGACAACACCAGGAGGAAGTTCCTCATTTACGCGGGGAATGACTACCAGGGCCCCGGCGGCCTGCTGGACTACATCGACAAGGAGATCATCCCCGACTTCCTGGGCGGAGAGTGCATGGTAGGTCCGTGTGCGCATGGGGCGGGGCCTGCGGCCGATGTGCGGAGCGGGTGCTGGCGTGCACGGATGGTTTTCAGAACTTCCAGTTTGGGTTGTTTGTTTTATTTTCATTGTTTTTGGCTGGCATCTTTTGGACCAACCATTTATGTAATTTTTGGTAACACCCACATTTCCTCGTTGTTGAATCTGGCCAGAGCTCGTTTCAGGATCTGCCCTGGTAGCAGCTGGTGTAAATGGGCTGTTTTAAGTGGTGGGAGGAGCTGTGTATTTTTAAAGACACTTAAATATCAAAGTGGTTCTCAGAAACGTTTCCCCATTGACAGTGAATCAGGATAGTATATTAAAAGGGATGAGCTAAGGGAAGTCGTTCTCTGGTATGTAATTTGGGATTTTTAATACATTGGATTGCCAGGCTGCAGGCAGATGCCTCTGCTTCTCAGCCCGCCCTGTGAAGAGGGAATCAGAGGGGGTTAGTCCCCTCAGCACCTCCCGCCTCTGGGGCTCCCCTGCCTGACGTGAGGGTGAAGGACGCTGGACCCTGGAGAGGCCCCAGATGGAGCCAAGGTGACGGCCAAAGCCGCCAGGTCTCATCAGAGAAAGGGCTTGCTCGTTCTTCACGGTGGATGACATTCTGTTTCGGGACGTGCATGGGTGGGCTTGACGCCCACGTTCTGCTGAGGCGGGTGCCTCTGGGGAGACCTGTGTGAGAGGGCTTTAAACGGCACTCAGACCCGGCCCACGTCAGTAGTCGTGCTGTCAGGGGTCGTAGGCATGTCATAGCGCCGTGGAGAGGGACAGGAGTCACAGGACCCTCACTTTCCAAGTGCCCGTGACGTTCCCGCTGAGGTCGTGTTGGAGAGCCCCCACGTGGTTGCTCCTCATGGGGACAGAGGAGCTGGGCTGGAGCGGAGGGTGTGCTTGTGTCCTGACCCCGGTGCCTGCATTGGTCACTCTGACCTCCATGACGCCCCACGGCGGGGGTCCCCGCAGCTGAGGGAGGTCACTGCACTTGGGCCTTCGAGGCTCCTCTCCTCTTCTCTCCGTGCTGCTGCTGCGGAAGAGGCGGCCTCCCCTCCCCTTCCCTGTGCCAGGGTTTCAGCCTGTGCCAGCAGGAAGTCTTCCAATGGGATGTCTGGCCACAACAGGGCTCCCTCCAGTCACGTACGTGCTCTGTGCGGTCACCTCCCTGGGCTGGTAGTAAAGTCATCGCACAGGGCCAGTTAGGAAATGTGCGAGGCATGCAAACTCACACTTGGCCAGGCCTGCCCCAGGCGGACTCAGGAGCCACTCTGCTTCGTGGTTCTGTGGCTGGTGTTACCGACTGAGCACTGGGCTCGGCTGGACACAGAGCTGTCCTCGTTGATTGCGTGTCCCGACTGTAATTGCACGTAATAAAAGCAATGCCTGTAGCTGCTGAGAATAACCCCCTCACCTAACATAATGTGTTCCTTTTCAGTGCAGAGTGAACACTTGTAACTCTTCCATAAACCAGGTTTAGTAATTGAGTCCGGTGCTTCACCCCCGTCAGTGTGAACTCTGGCAGACCAGCTTCAGCTCGTTCTGTTTCTGTAAAGCATGGCACACGTGTTTAAATGGGTTTTAAAGTGGCGTTGCTGTCTGACCGAGCGATGCCATCGCCAGGGTGCCGTTCCTCAACAGCGTCGGGGAGTCGGCCCCGGCGCTGCAGTGCGTGGCGTGCAGCCGGACGGCTGGGGAGCTGGTACCTTGGCTCGTCTCGTTGCCACGTTGTCTCCTTTGCAGTGTGAAGTGCCAGAGGGCGGCCTGGTCCCCAAGTCCCTGTACCGGACTGCGGAGGAGCTGGAGAACGAGGACCTCAAGCTCTGGACCGAGACCATCTACCAGTCCGCCAGCGTGTTCAAAGGAGCCCCGCACGAGGTGTGCGCGCCGGGCGGGCGGGTGCTGGGCCCCAGGGGTCATTGGCAGGTCGCCCCAGCAGACTCGGCTCGGGAGGACCGACACTCCTGCCGGTCTCTGGCATTGGATTCTGCTGCACAGGCCTCTTGGCACCACGAGCGGCTGCGTAGCGGGCTCTTCGCCGACTGCAGGGTCTGGACGCGGGCTGTGCACAGCGAGTCGGCTCTCGGGTTTGGTTTGTTTATGGCTGCCTGGGACCAACCTCGTTTTTCCTGTTGTTGGCTGGGTTTTGGTTATGTATGTTTTTAAAGGGACGTCTCCATACTTGTTGGTTTGACGGAGTGAGGCAAAATCTCCCCTTTCGCTGTTGCGCCGTGGTGCAGAAGCAAGGGCATCCTGGAAAATGATGCTCACTGTGTGTCCTGGGACATCGTGGGTGACCTGAGTCACCCTTTCCTGAGCCCCGGCTGCGGAGAGGACGGCGGCACTGCACAGTGGCCCTCAGAGAGGACGGGCTCCTGCCTCGGCCTGTGGCCAGGGCTGCCTCCCAGCCAGAGCAGCGGCCCCGCTCAGCCACTGCTGTCTGCCCTCACTGCTCTGTCTCCCGTCGCCGGCAGGGCAGGTGGATGCTGCTGCTGCGGTCCGAACAGGCGGCGGTGCAAGTTGCCGCGCCTCGGTCGCTGACTCGGTGGGGCCCCGGTTTCCACTCCTGTGTCTGCAGGGTCGTTCATGTTTCCGACTAGGAGGCCGGCTCGAGGAGGCGGAGCTCTCCTTTCCCCTCTGGGGTCACTGTCACCCTTGTCCACAGGACAGAGCTTGAGAGTCACAGGGTGTGGAAACAGTTCGCCGGTTTCTACATCAGAACTCGAGAACTCCGTTTCCACTGTGGGGCCTGGGGCAAGCACAGACCAAGGGCAGTGGCCCCTCTGAAGGGAAGGCCGGATGAAGCGTCCCCATTGTGGGGGAAGGAAGGAGGGTGCTTGTCAGCTGGGGGCTCGTGTCAGGAGAGCCGCCCGGGGAGCCGCTGGGCAGAGGAGAGCGAGTGGGCCGGGCCTCGGGGCCCCCGCCGGCCTTAGGCGGGACCCTCGTGCTCGGCGGAGTGTGCTCCGCACCAACACTCCACCGCAGCGTGTCGGCAGCGAGAAGAGGCAGCAGTGTGGTGGGAGGCGGAGCCCGCTCACCTGACAGCCGCCACGTGGAGGGCGGGTGGGCGGCTCCCGGTGGAGGGAGCACACGGCTCCGGCTGATGCTGGGACTTTTAGTGAGTGCAGAGCTTCCCCGGCAGTTTTCATTCTCAGCTCCTCCCACAGCAAACTTCTGAAACCGTGACTTTGATCATTCCCTGTTGGGAACCTTGAAGTGGGCCCCTGGGACTGCGTAGATTCAGATCGGCACTGAGCCCTGCCCTTCCCCCAGCCCCGTGCTCTCGGTCTGACTCCCACCTCCCTGGGCCCCCGTTCGCCGGTGGGTCCCATCTGCACACCGTCTTGCCTTGTGTCCTGTGTGTGCGTGTTTTCAGTCCTCACCGCGGACTTGCTTGTTAATTTCAGAGAGGGGCGAAGGGAGGGAGGGAGAGAGACATCGATTGGTTGTCTTTTGTGAGGGCCTTGACCAGAGACTGAACCCACCAGCTTTCGGGTTGTGGGGTGACACCCCACCAACTGAGCAACCAGCCAGGGCTGTCCTCTGTCTGGCTGAGGCGTTTCTTACAGTCGGGACTCAGTGCTTCAGCACTGGGCTGAACCGGCGGGGCGCGGGGGCTGTGGACCGCGTGCGTGCCTAGTGATGTGCACAGTCCAGGCCTGGGACACGGGGCGGGCGCCTGCACTGCGAGTGGCGGTCTGGACAGTTGCTGGTGACTGTGTGTGCAGAGCATGCTGAGCGGACACACCGCCTCGCGACACAGTGTGGCCGGCGCTGGCGCCACCGCGGTTGTTGACGCAGCCCCTTCTTTTCCAGATTCTCATTCAGATTGTGGACGCCTCTTCAGTGATCACCTGGGATTTTGACGTGTGTAAAGGGGACATCGTCTTCAACATCTATCACTCCAAGAGGTCCCCGCAGCCTCCCAAGAAGGACTCGCTGGGGGCGCACAGCATCACTTCCCCGGGAGGGAACAACGTGCAGCTGATAGACAGGGCCTGGCAGCTGGGCCGGGACTACAGCATGGTGGAGTCGCCCCTGACCTGCAAGGAAGGGGAGAGCGTGCAGGTGAGGCGGTGCTCCGGCTCTGTCTTGGGAGGGGGTCCGTCACCTTGCTCCCGCTCTGCACACCGACACCATCTGTCGTTGGGACATCGTCTGGGCCTGTCTGGTTCCAGTTCCGTCAGAGAGACTCCAGGAGCCAAGCGAGTCTTCAGGGAGAAAGGACTCAGACCTGAGGGGCTTTGGGACAGAATCCACGACCCCTGCCCCAAGTACTTGAGTGTTCTTCAGCGTGTGTTCACCAGGGCTCCCCAGAGGGAGGGGTAGGCACCGTGTGCACACATAGCTGGGGTTCAGAGACTCCCACCAGTGCGCCCTTGACCATGTTCTGCTTGCTTCCTTCCGCGGGAAGTCACTCTAAATAGAAGTGAGAGACACGAGTGCCTAGGGGACTATTAACTGTCATTACCGAGCATTCTGATCGTGTGAAAATGCTCCGTCAGTCCGCTGGTGAGACTGCAGCCAGTTGTTCTGCGTGTGTGTGCTTGGCACGGCCATTCTGGGGGCCTTGGCACTCACAGCGGATGCGGGGTTTGCTGCCGTTGCGGTTTTCGGGAAGAGGCCCGTCAGGGTCCTGGTGGTGTGAGACACAGCACAAGGAAGGGTCTTTCTGAGTTTCAAACTAGCAGATGTCTTAAGCTGCACCCCAGCCTTTAGTTCCAGAATTAATGGAGGAGGTAACTCTCGCAGGCTGACATTTGGTTTTAGATGGCCGTCCTCTTAACCTAGAAAGTGCTGGTCAGATCATTGGAAGCCTGGTCCAGATGACCTTTCTGACCTTCTCAAGGCCAAGTAAGGGCCCTGCTCGAGTGAGATCTTCCGTCCTGGTCGTTGGGGCGGGCACACTCAGAGTGCCGCTCCCTGTCACCTTCCCAGCACCTAGCAGACGCCTGGCTGGGATCGACCCTGCTAGTGAATCCAAGTAGCAGGCCTTTCACTTGTCCAGATGGTCAGTGAGCACTGCGGAGTCCAAGGTGGCTGCCCCGGCTTTGCCAGACTTGCTGCCGGGCAGGGGCTCGGAAGGGAGGCCGCCTCAGCCGGCTCTGCCTGACTCCTTGCAGGGCTCCCACGTGACGAGGTGGCCGGGCTTCTACATCCTGCAGTGGAAGTTCCACAGCATGCCGGCCTGCGCTGCCACCAGCCTGCCCCGCGTGGACGATGTGCTGGCCTCGCTGCAGGTGTCCTCTCACAAGTGCAAAGTGATGTACTACACCGAAGTGATCGGGTCCGAGGATTTCAGGTACAGGCGCCGGCAAGGCGGGGACTCGTGGGTGCAGGCGGCGGGGGCCTTTGGGCCACTCTCTGCTGGCTCACCATGTTACCTGTGTCCAAGGACAGGGGGGCCTCGCCCCTGGGAGGCCCTGCTGGCTGTGCTGCCTTGTGAGTGGCGCTGGTGGGGAGTCGGGGCTTGCAGAGTGGGGTGGGGGGCGGAGAGCAGGGCACTGACGGGAAGTCCAGCAGACAGGGCGGGGAGCTGGGGAGCTCTCCGTCCTCACGCCTCATCCCCTCGCTGTGCTGTCCTCAGAGGCTCGATGACCAGCCTGGAGTCCAGCCACAGCGGCTTCTCCCAGCTGAGTGCCGCCACCACCACCTCCAGCCAGTCCCACTCCAGCTCCACGGTTTCCAGGTAGTGCTGTGCTGCCGCCGCCGCCGCCACCTCCTCCTTGGACAGCCCTGCACACCGCCTGCCTGGCGGCCACCGTGTGCAGACACCTCCGACCCCTAGGTAGCAGGTAGCTCCCGAGATGGTAGATGTAGTCCGTGATCCCGACGCCGTCTCCACAGGCAGTTTTAACTCTGACTCCGACTTCGTAGCCATAGATTTCGTGTGCAGCCTGCACAGAGTCAAGCCAGAGTGAAAGGGCTATTGGGAAAGAAAGTCGTTTATGCACTAATTAAGAGCTTGACTTTGTCTTCAATGTCGATGCAAAAAATGCCCCGCATAACCTCCACACCGTCCGCTAGCGGATGAAGCTCTGCGCCTCGCGGCAGAGGCGGCCCTGCCTTCCCACGCGGGGCAGGAGCTGCCGCCTCGCCCCCTCCCGCAGCCCCCGCCTTCGCCTGCTCACAGTGGCAGCCCGCCCGCTGCCGTGAGAGCAGGAAGGACGGAGGCAGCCTGGCTCCCTGGCGGACGGAGCTGTGGTTCTCACGTCTGTGCCAGTGGGTCGAGGGGCGCCCAGTGGCGCCAGGAAGACACCGCCATCACCGAACATGACTGTCTGTCTCCTCCTCTCCCGAGCTTCTCAGTGCTTCCAGAGCAGGCTTTTCCTGGGCAGGCCCGGCCTGCGGGCGGGTCTCCCTCCTCCTTCCTGTGCGTTGCTTCTCCCGCCGGTGCTGTCGGTTCTGAGCTTGTCCGGCCTCCCTCCCTGGCGCCCTCCCGGCTTCACAGCATCAGAGCCCGGGTGGCCCTTCCAGGCCCGGGGTGGGGGGTGGTGGCTGGAAGACTCGGTTTGCGACGTGGCAGCTCTCTGGTCTTCCCACTCTGGCTGAGCAGGGGTCGAGTGCCGTGGCCGCTTCAGGGGGGGCGTGTGGCTCATCGGAGCCTCGCCCTCGTCTCTGTGGCAGGATGTGGACTCTGTGCCGTGTGCGCACGTGGGTGTGGCCGTGGCCGTGTGGGGCCAGCAGGCTGTGGTGAGGGTCCTTGGTCCATGTGATGAGATTCTTCCCAGCAACCAAGCAGATAGGAAGTTGGTTTGCCTTTTACATTTTCTTTTTATTCCCACTTACAAAGCCTCTTCTGTCTCATGGTGGCCCTCAGGTTTTGGCTTTATGTGAGAAAGGCTGGTTATTTTGTGAATTTGCCCGTGTTGCATCGGGTCACTCTCTTGATGAGCATGACGTGCGTGTCGTGTGTGGCAGAGGCGGAGCCTTCGAGGCTGAGGTGTGTGTGTACCGGGCCCGCAGGTCCTGGGCTGCGTTGTCTTGGTCTGCGCTGGAGGCGTCGGTGGGTGGCCGTGGGGCCCAGAGCAGAGGTGTCGGGAGAGTTCAGAGGAGCAGGGCAGCCCGCTCACCCCTGCCTGCAGGCCGGTGGCAGCCGTCCTGGCACGCGGCGGCGGGTGTTTTCCTCCGAGAAGAGAAGCCCCTTCTTGGCACCTAGAGGCTTGTTCCCAGAAAGCACAGTAGGGTCCGTTGCTACTTCCAGCCGGTGCTTCTCGTGTCCCAGTTCCGAGGACCTGAAGGTGGTCCTTTCTCTCTCTTTCTCTCTCTCTCTGTCTCTCTGTGTGTGTCTCAGATGGCGATTTTGCTGACCGCTGCCAGGAAACCGCTTCCCTCAACAGTGCACAGCGGCCCAGGGACGTTTGTAGAGCTGAGTCTCAGCCAGCCCCTCCCCCAGTCAGAAGATCTGGTCTTTTTAAGTTGATTTGGAAGCGGCCCTGTTTTTAAGGGTTCAGAGCACAGGACATGCTGATGCCCGAGGGTTGCTCACGCATCGCTCGGCCGCTCTCCTGGGGCGGGAGCCGCGCGTGGCCTCGGTGGCGCGGGCGAGCCCGTCCGCCCTCTCGGGGCCCGCACACCTTCAGTAGCTGCGGTCCTCCTGCCTTTCCCAGCGCTAGTGAGTCCTGGGTGTCCCCTCCGCGATGATGAGTGTCTTCATTCACTTTCCCCCAAGCACATCATTTACACGTCAGATTCTGTAAATGTTTTGTAAACATATTACCTCACTCTTGGTAATACAATACTGATAGTCTTTACAAGATTTTTTTATTGTTATCAATAATAAATGTGAACCGTTTGAAGAAAACAGATGTCTTTTTGTTACTGCGAAGTCTCCCTGGAAGAGATGTCACTTCAGAGGCCGTGGGGACCACGGGGTGCGCAGAGAGAGCCGGGAGCCTGGGCCCACGTGTTCTGGGAGTCCCAGCACACGCACCGCCCCTGCGCGCAGGCCCTGGGGCTCCCAGGTCCCCCACTCCCAGAACACGCGCTGTAGTTTTTCTTAAACTGCACGAGATCAGAATCAAACACGAGTAGCAGCGTGTCCCCGGCTCCTCGCCTGCCTGCCTCCCCATCAGAAGCTGTGATGTCATTCGCTTCCCTAGTAAGCGTCTGTCCTCGGTGGGAGCCAGCCAGGGGACACTGGCTGGGACGAGGGGCGGGAAGCAAGTGCCGCCTGAATGTGCTCTCAGGCAGGAGTGTGTCCCCGGGGTCTGCACAGCTGACCTGCTCCTGCCGACCTCAGTGCCGTGATGACTCGCGGTGACTTAGCCGTTCCCGAGTCCCCCCCACACTCCAGTGCACGTCTGCCTGTCGGGTTGGGCCTTCGGTTCAGCGTTGGATTCTCCTGGTGGCAGCCAGAGGCTGACAAACGGGCACCTGTGACCTGCAGGGTGTCTGCTGAGTGTCCCCGGTGCCGCCGTATGGTGGAGGGTCCCAGAGACAGTCATCGTGATGCGGGGCTGCCAGCTCTCCTCCGCGCTTCTCCCTGAGTCCGCGCCGTGCCCCAGCAGTCCTGCAAAACACTGGTGGGCGGAGGCGTCCTCACTGGGGGCATGAGGCGGGCCTGCGGACCAGTCGTCTGAACAGGTGGGGGTCCGCCGGCCCGGGGCTCCTGGACATTGGCGGCGGTGTCCCCGAGTGGAGACAGCAGGTGACCTGCGAAACCTGAATCCCATGGAGAGCTGAACCGTAGGCGTAGGGACTGTGACAGTGGCCCGTTTGTCACAGACACCCCACCACAGCGAACCCCGGGGACAGCACGTCCCCATGAACTCCAGAGAGAGGCACAGACCCGACCCGTAACAGGTCCCATGAGTCACACAGTAGAGGTCCGGGCACGGGCCCCCCGCAGAGCCCAGAGCTGCCCCGGGGGGAGCGAGCGCAGCGGGCAGGTTTGAGCCGGTGGGTGGGCTGGCCAGGAGCTGTGCCCTTCGGTGGCCGGTGAGCACCGAGGGTGGCTGCTGAGAGGCGAGGGGTGGGAACAGTCCAGCCCCTGTGGAGTGAGTGCCCCGCTGACCTGCCTGGGCTCCTTTCTAGTGACTGAAAGACTGCTGGGGGTGGAATTAAAAAAACTCAGCAGGGCAGGGGACAGGGCGGAAAGACGACCGGGGCTGAGGCAAATGGCATGTTTCATAAACACTTAACAAGACACGAAAAGCCTCAGGTGTCAGTGGGAGCAAAGCTGGGAATGAGGAGCTCACCATCCTGCAGCCACAGCCACAAGAGCGGGCCCGGGGCGGGGGGGGGAAGGGGCTGTGGCGGGTGTGGAGGGAGGGCTCAGACGCGTGGGGACGGGACTCGGTTAGAAGTGAACAAAAAAACCACGTCGAATGAAGACCAAGTTACAGGGACTGGAAGTGAAGCGTTTCACGGAGAGGGCTTTTGGGGACGTGCAGGGCACGAAGGGGGAAAGGCGAGGCGTCAGGAGGGGGTGAGGAGGAGGGAGGCGGAGGCCGGCGAGGAGGGGCCGGCGTAGCGGTGGGACCGAAGGGGCGAGCACCCGGGAGTGACCGGCACTAAGGGCGTTTTAGCCACGATGCTGGACTTTATATTCTTAAGATCTTGTTTATTTAGTTTTGGAGGGAGAGAAACCTCGATCAGTTGCCTCTTGCATGCACCCTGACTGAGGACTGAACCTGCAACCCAAGCACATGCCCTGACTGGGGATTGAACCGTGGCCTTTCGCTGTGAAGGATGATGCCCAACCCATCTGTGGAGGGAAGTCAAGCTTTTCAGAGGGTGAGCTTCGTGCAGGAAGGCAGCGGAGTAGTGAGGATCTTCCAGGAAAGGGAGAGCGAGCCAAGAGTAGGTGTCCTGCAGAACCGACGTCCCAGGTTCGAGGGTGCTGGTGAGGGTGTCGGTGAGCAGCAGCTGGGACAGCGCGGCCCCCAGCCCATCCTGAGGACGCGCTGCAGACGCCAGCCCGGCCGGAGAGGCGCGAGGACCCGCGAGCTCTGCCCGCCCGGCCGGCTCCTTCCCTTAGCTCTGGGGCCGGTCCACACTCGGGCTGGAGCGCAAACCCAGCTGTGCCCCAAGCTGGTGGGTGCGGCCCCAGCACACCGTGGGGGAGCCCACCCGGGTCCCCAGGACCTGCGGACCCCTCCCCAGGGGGCTGCTGCAGTCCTCCCTCAGGAGGGCTGGGTCACCGGACGTGTGGCTGTGACCTGGCCAGGTGGTGAACGCAGCCTTCAGTGACCAAAGTCACTTTTTTAAAAGTAATTGGTTTTTACCATAAAAGCATCCTTCCTCAAGGTGAAACTTCAAACAGAAGACGAGGGAGTACAGTAGGAAAAAAATCTCCTCTTCCCTGGCTGGTGTGGCTCAGTGGATTGAGTGCCGGCCTATGAAGCACAGGGTCACCAGTTCGATTCCCAGTCAGGGCACATACCTGGGTTGCGGACCTGGTCCCCAGTGGGAGGTGCACAAGAGGCAACCACACATTAATGTTTCTCTCCCTCTCTTCCTTTCCCCTCTGTTTAAAAATAAATTAAAAAAATTTTAATTTTAATTTAATTAAAAATTTTTTTTTATTTATCTTTAGAAAGGAAGGAGAGAAACACCAATGTATGGTTGCTTCTTTTGCATCCCCTGCTGGGAACTGGCCTGCAACCCAGGCATGTGCCCTGACTGGGAACTGAACCGTGATCTTTTGGTTCCCAGGCCCATGCTCAATCCACTGAGCCACACTAGCCAGGGCTTAAAAATAAATCTTTAAAAAAATAAAAATGCTCCCTCTCGCCCTGTCGTCCCTCCCACCGCCTGCCTCCTGGTTCCCTTTACCCCTGACCCCACGCCTCCTCCCTCCTCGCAGAGACAGTGGATGATGGGGGTGTCAGCTGACCCGCCGAGCACTCCTGGTCCTACAGGGGCACGGGCCTGTGTATAATCACGCGTGTTTCTCTGAGCCGCTGGCCTGGGCCCTGCTTCCCTTGCCCGAGTCTCATCTTCCGTCCCACGTTCCCCTCTGTCCCTTTCCTGACTTGGCCACCAGCCTTTTCCACTTGAAAGCTTTCCACGTCCTCAGGGAAGTGCCCCTTGGCCCTCCTGGGGGGTGGACGGTCTCCCGTCACGTCACCCGTTACTCGCTGGTTTTACTGTCGTGTGTCGGCGTTCCCCACGGCCCCGGGTTCCAGGAGTGTGCAGGGCCTCGCTTGTCCTCGGACCTGCCCCTGGCGCCCGAGGCCCCACAGTGACAGGTAACCCAGGGTGCCAGCTGCGAGTGGGCCGGTCATTTGGTGCTGGCCATTTTTTTCCATTGGGCGGAAAACTCATCTTTGTGAGGTCAAGTGTATGGTCTTTTCCTTAGGTGCTTCTAGGTTTTATATCTCATCAAAGAGGACTTCCCCACATTAAATTCTCCTACTTTTTTGGTGGTACTTTCCTGGGTGTTTTTTTTGTTTTATGTTGAAATCTGTCACGCACCCGATGATTTCCGTGTACAAAGCGAGGTGGTGACTTTTGATGAGTCCTTGGTGGTTCTCTGGACTCTTCGGCTGCAGGACGGAGCCCGGCCCCAGCCCCTGCGCAGTCCCGGGGAAACCCTGTATGTAGGTACTGACGCAGGACGGGAGGGGGTTAGCCGGGCCCCAGGGCGGACAGGCGAGAGTGCTGAATGTGGCGGGAAGAAAGCACAGCGCGGGTGCGGAGGAACTCCGGTGCTCGCTTGGACCTTCCGGCATTGGCCTGGCGGAGGTGAAGAGGGGTCTCGTCTGAGGGACCGTGGCGCCGCCCCCTGCAGGCTGTGTGCCGCCCCCACGCCCAGCCGTCAGCTCCCCTCTGTCCACATGGTCCCCGGAGAACCAGGGATTGGTTTCACTGTCTCATTTCCGAACAGCTTCGGCATGCCTCCCAGGAAGCTGTTTGGATTGGAAAATCACAAGAGAAAGCTGAAGGGGGGGAAGTGCAGACGAGAGCCCGGAGGGGAATGCTCTGCGGTGGAACACCAGCTCCGCTCTGGGGGCGGGGGGCGGGTTTCGGGGCCTTTGTGATTAGTGGTTTCTCCAGACCCCGCGTGGGTCTGGTCGCCAGCACCGGTCTGCCAGGGGCACACAGGTTTCTGGGAAGAGATGATACAGAGTTGCTTTCTCTGTCTCCAGAGACGCACCGTGGGCGCCTGTGGAAGGCCTGCAGTGTCAGCTGGCTGGGGGCCCCTGCCTGTTCCCCAGAAGCAGGGCTGTCTGTGAAGGAAACTCCGGTCTCTGCCTCCGCAGTCACCTGACACAGGGGACCCCTGAGCCTCACGTTCTGACCCCGAGTTCCCAGCTCCCTGCACCCCGGGCTGGGCCACCAGCTCCTCCCTGGCCCTCCGCTGTTCCCAGAGTGGAAGCAAGCTTCTGTGGGTGCCTGTCGGGTACCCTGGATCCGCCGGGAGTTTTTACACACAGTGGATGACGGGCAGTGAGCTGCCTCCACCTCCACAGTTGGCGTCCTGTCCCCAAAAGGCCAGTGGCGGCCTTGCCCCCGTCCTGCCATCCTTATCATCGGGCATCATCAGCTCGGAGTGGCGGGGATTGGTCTCCTCCAGGTTTCTCCACGAGGCGCTGCTGGCGGTCTGGGCGGGGTCATTCTTTGCTGTGGGGCCGTCTTATGCAGGGCAGGACATTGAGCAGCACCCCTGTCCCCTACCCTCTAGCTGCCAGCACCCACTGGTTGTGACAACCAGCACTGTCACCAGACGTTGCCCGCTGTCCCCCCCGGGTGGGCAAAACCATTCCTGGTTGAGAATCAGTGCTCTAATCTAACAGACTTAGGGCTGGAAGGAAGAAACTGCGGCCCAGAGAGGGTAAGACGTGTGCCTGGAGTAAC